ACCGTCTACTTAACTATCTATTAAGTCTTGTGGTAAGTAATATTATCATAATGGCTGATATAATACATCTGGTTTAAGTATGATCTTTAAGCAATCTCTTTAAAGGCATTAATTCGACATCGATTATGCAAAGTGACGAATGCTAGCGTACTGCACCTCTGTTCGTTAATAAGTACATTACTTATCGCAAACCGGTATCTTAGTTTGTCATATGCACTGGCTATAGTTCTAAGAAATGATCTAATTAATCGCGTAAATTGGTAATCTGCGCAACGGCTAATTATTACCAACAAAATAAACTCTCGAGTTGTTGGTGACGTACATGTTGCTACAGATGTTGAGGATAGAATTGTTGCCAGGTAAATTGTTTGCCTAGTGTTTTACTTTGCAGTTGCCACAATTAATATTGTTACTTGTAATCGTCAAGAATTCGTATATTCATTTATGCCCTCCAAGAGTAAACCTATAAAGTAAGGAATGCGCAAGTCAGACTAACAGGATCGAAATCACTGACGGCCAGCATACGTCGAAATTCGGTGCCCTATAATCTTAGTCAACGTGCCTCCCGGTTGCGGCGTGTACCCGGCATGGCGGTTTTGTAATGTCACCACTCGATTTCTTGACTGCGGATTTTCAATAGATTTCTTAAGTACCAGCAGTGATATTGGACAAACTAATCGCGTTTGGTCTATAAGGTAATGTATTATTTAACTAACAAGTGCCATGTTTCCTGTAAGCTTCGTCACATTGCATAATCGATGGTCGAATTGCCTTTAACTATTACCTAGTCTGTGTAGTAGCTTAACTTATCATATTAGCTGATATATAATTATTCTGTTTAAATACTGTACTTGAACAATACTACTTCAAGCTTATCCTACTCCACTAAGTGTCGTCGTAATTCTACTTTTAACTATCATGGAGATTATGGCTCATGGTATTATCTCATCAGACAACAGCCAAATCATCTCATGATAAAAGCTGATGATAATTAAGCATGATAGAATTCCTGCCCCAAGCAGTATGATAGTTTTAAACCGTTGGTAGTCGTCAATCCCTGGAGAAGTAGGTAGCTGGCAATATCAACTGTTTCCTGGCCAAACCCGCGACACGCGATGTGTAAAGATCGCCGCGCACGCGCTCCATTGTTTCGTCTCGCTTAACTGTGGCTGTCCCTCCCTCGCCCTGGGCGTGACGATGTGGTCGAGGGTGGGGATGGTGCTCATTGTCTGTTCCTAAGCGTTTTAACTCCCAAATTTCTTCCAGAAGCAACAACGCTAGTCCCATGATTCAGAAATGTTTTCTCGACACTATTGAGCTGAAAAAGCACACAGGCTATTTTGTCTCATATGCTGGTGTATCACAACTGTTCAAGATATCAACAGTCATTATGCAACAATTAATTGCCGTTTCCCGTGTGTCTAAATATCTAATCTCGACCAGAGTTCATGTTTCCGGTACATATGTCAATTCGAGATCACTGGTCTGTGCTTTCCCACTGTTGTTTGGTTATAGAGCAATACCGAATATAATTCGATTGAGCATTGGTGTCGCGTGAGATAAATCTTAAACGGGGTAGAGAGAGAAAGAGAGCAAAGAAAGAGGCGCAATAGAGAGAGAGAGAGAGAAAGAAAGAGGAGAGAGAGAGAGATAAGGGAGAGCCAGCGACGAGGAGTAGGAGAAGGGACGAGAGGCGAGAGAGCGAGTAGAGAGAAGAGGAAAGAGAGAGGAGAGAGAGAGAGAGAGAGAGAAGAGAGAGAGAAGAGCAGAGAGAGCCGAGAGCGAGACGAGTAGCGAGAGCGAGAGAGGAGCGCGCAGCGAGAGAGAAGCGGAAGAGCAGAGAGGACAAGAGAGAGACAGAGAGAGAGGAGAAGGTGGATGGATGATGATGGATGTGGATGGATGGATGGATGGATGGTCATGGATGGATGGAGATGGATGGATGATGATGGATGATGTGATAGGATGATGATGTGATGATGGATGGATGATTGATGGATGATGGTGGATGCTGAGATGGATGGATGGTGATGGATGGATGATTGATGGATGGAATGAGGATGGAAGTTGGATTGGATTGATGATTGATGATGATGGATGGCTGGGATGGATGGATGGATGGATGGATGGATGGATGGATTGGATGGATGATGGGATGGTGATGATGGATGGTGTATGGATGGAGATGATGGATGGATGGATGGATGGATGAATGGATGGATGTGATGGATGGATGATGATTGATGGATGATGGATGATAGATGATGGATAATGATAGATTGGTGAAAGTGTGGGATGAATGGATGAATGGATGTAATGGATGGATGATGGATGGATGGATGATGAGGATGGACGATGAATGGATGGATGGATGGATGGATTGGTGGATGAATGGATGGATGGATGGATGGTATGGATGATTGGATGGATGATGGATGGATGATGATGAATGGTGGATGTATGATGGATGAGGATGGATGGATGATGGATGGATGGATGGATGGATGGATGCGATGGATGCTGGATGGATGGATGATGGATGTATGGATGGATGGATGATGGAGCGTGGATTGATGATGATGTGGATGGCTGCAGGATCTATGGATCGCTGGCAAGATTGATCGTGAGTGATGGCTGGATGATGGATGATAGTTGGATGATGATTGATTGATGGATGTATGGTGCAAGATGGATGGTGAAGACGTGTGACATTGCTGTCATGTTTGCAGGCGCAGCTGGGGGAGGATGAGGACGTGTGACATTGCTGTCATGTTTGCAGGTGCCGGCACAGCTGGGTGAGGATGAGGACGTGTGACATTGCTGTCGTGTTTGCAGGTGCAGGCACAGCTGGGGGAGGATGAGGACGTGTACGGGGAGGAGATGGCTGCCTACATCAACACTGCTGACGTGCTGCAGCCAGGAGAGAGGAACCTTGCCGGCGCCGGCGGAGAAGGTACGTGGCTTCTTCCTTGACTGGCACATCGATTGTTTAGTCGTGGCTTTGTTCCCCGCAGATGCATAATGTAATGTAATGTCAAGAGCGATTAAACATAAATTTGATTTTATTCTCTCCTGAAAATATAATATAAGTTAATGAAATGTATTGTAATATAATATAATATAATATAATATAATATAATATAATATAATATAATATAATATAATATAATATAATATAATATAATACAGTATAATATAACAACGTAACACAAAAAATGTTATATAACATAGTATGATACATAGCATGCTGTAAGACATGATGCATGCTCGCTCACTCCTGCGTGCATATACGACCCTTGCACCTGTGTTAGTGCATTACAAGTTCACAGCACAGGGCACAAGAAAGGTCGGGGAAAAGATACCTTTATTAATATCCGCATGAGAACCGTAAAGCAAATCGCTTTTTTTTCACTTGGCAGGAATTCTCAAGTACTGCACGGTCACGGAGAAGCATCGCCGTGACGACCGGACCGGTGCGAAGGTCGAACGCAGAGCGAAGAAACGCGCGAGATTAAAACTGCCGTCTCTCTGCGACGAATCAGAGACCGGCGGTGATGCAGACGACCTCCCAGCGTTCCCGGGTGTCCGTCGCGCAGACGACGCGGTGATGGCGAACGGTGGCGCCACCATGGCCAGTTCGGTTGGGGTCGCCATCGCAAGTCGAGCGAAAGGGCGGAGTTGCAGCGGAGCGGCGAGGAAAACGAAAGGGGAAAACCAGAGGGAGAAACCAGAGAGGGAGAAACCAGAGAAGGAACCGTGCGTCGTCGTGCTGTCGTCCAGCGAGGAATCGGACGACGAATCGGTCGCTGCATCGAGGAGAATCGCCACGGCAACCGCATCCGCATCGAGCGTGATTCCATCTCGAGAGACGGTCTCAGCGTGGTCTCGAGGCGCGGCGAGGCACGACGAGACGCAGCGTGCGGGGGATGCCGCCGCCGCTGCCGCCTCCTCGCCCGTCCGCCTGCTGAAGAAGAGGAAGAGACGGCGGCCGCAGCGTCTCCCTGACGACGACGACGACGCATTTGCGACGGGCGATGGAAGGACGCGAGATCCCCCCGCCGATGCCGCCTGCAGTCCCACTATCCCACACGATCCTGCTATCCCAGATGATTCCGGTATCCCAGACGATTCCGGTATTGCGGATGACTCCGGTGAAGACGGTCCCCGCGGGACTCCCCCGGAAGCGGCTCCTTCCGCAGCGAGAAGCGTCGCGGGGGAGGCGCGTTCGTTCTTCGTGCGGTCGGCCGGTCGGCGCGGCGGCAACAGCGGGGTTAAGGAGAGCGAGGGTGGTGACGGCAGCATCAGCAGGATCGGGGGGAGCGAGGGCAGTGGTGGGGCAGGGGAGCGAGGGCGGGGCGCTTAAGGGTGCCGACTGCCCCAACAGCGCTGCGGCGCGAAGGCCCGCGGTGGGCCTGGACTTCCTCAACGCGACGGCGCATTCCGCTGTCGACGGTGCTAGAAGATGGTCCGTGCGGAGTGGGAGCGGGAAGGGGGGTGGTGCGGCGACGACGCGCCGCTGGCCACGGCGGGGTGCACGTCGCAGCGGGAGGCGCGCTCACAGGCGAAAGATCTCCCTGTACAGACTGGCATACACGTGATGATGGCGCTTAACTGTGAGAACCAGGCGACGTGCAATGCGAAAAGAACTACCTGTGATGATGGGGCTCACGGGCTATGAAGACAGACTGCTGTGGTGAACCGCGCGTACTGCGGTCGCTCTCGCTCCGCGGCGAGACTGTATAAAGATGTGCGGTAGCAGTGGACGCCGTGCCGCATGCGCCCAGCGCCGCAGAAATCACAGTCCTCCCCCGGCGTTCACCCCGCGGTGGGATACGCGCGCGACGGACCGCAGCAGCCAGTGACGGCGGATACCGCGATCCGTTG